GGGGGGGGGGGGGGGGGGGGGGGGCATCTTCAGATATGGACAATTCTGAAATAGGCAACGATTGAAAATAATTTGAAAGCAAATATTTCATAAAATGATAGTAGATTCTACCATAAGTGATCGTTATAACAGCACGTAATGGCCATAACCTTAGTGACCCAGCAACAGAGGCCGAAGGCTGTACAGTGTAATCGTAGTAATTTTCTTTGTTACAAGATAGTAGCCTGGAGGAGGAGAGTGTCCAGCTGGTAACAGTTACCTAATAACCTGTTGACCGCAGAACTGACCATTCGTCCCCATCAGCTCAATGAGTCTGGGAGGGCGTGAAGAATGGTTCAGTTAGATGACCCTTGACCTTGAGTGATGACTGACCCCTAGACGATGTGACGTAATTGTGGTGGGATGTCAAAAGATAACAATACATTGAACGTTGGGAGGGCGTGACCGTTAAGTGATTCACGGACGTTACTCAACCGGGACGCCATTTCCATGTTCGCTCTCCTCCCGAAAGGTGAAAAGTGCAGCTATGTCGCAACAACATGCCGGTGGGGTCGCCATTACGGGTCCCCAGACGGACGAGGAGTTAAGTGAAGGTGGCTGTGAGGGTGTAATGAGTGTGACCACGAGGGTAGCCGTGTGAACAATATCGTATGACCAAAGCAGAAAATACGTCACAAAGTCAATTACTCGGAAGTTGCAATCAGAAAAAGCTACAAATAAAAAACCCATTGTGAATTTATTATTAAATCACGTCAAATTCCTAGATTGATTTGCATAATTGTTTCGTTATCTTTTGAAAGTCTTCCATACCGTTATACATTTAGAGCTAGCTTTGTTAAAAATGTTCGATGCCTAGTAGTGCTCTAAGCGAGTGTGTTTGTGTGTGTGTGTGTGTGTTCGTTGTGTATTGACTTGAAGATTAACTGGACACTATACAAACTGACCTACCTACACTCGGGCTGGGCCATTGGTCACTTCCCCCACGTTAGGACGGGTGATGTAATGTTGGTATATTGACGATATCACTGGACAAACATAGCCTATGTGGGTATGGTTAGCGGTCCACGTGTTATGTAATGGTACAAAAGCTTTGCTCTATTAAATACACGGAGGCTAAAAGTTCACCAACACTTACGCAACGTTTTATAAAAGTCGAACGCTCCAGAGATATTGTGCAAATATGGCGCAATTACCTTAGATTGACCTTGAGAGCTGACCACTGGCTAGAGATTTAGGCCAACTGATCTTTTTGACTAAGGACCCATTAGATCATTGTGGAAATCCACGTTGACCGAAGCCCATTGTTCCAACAAGTGCTAGCAATGGCATTGCAAAACACAAGTAAAATGAAAGTAGACTTAATCGGGTACACTATATTGAGATTATGTTAATCTGTAAGTTTTTTAGGATTTGAACCAAATCTATCCATATTATGACAACAAATTGTTTATTTTAGGGTTTTGTACATGTAAAACAGAGACTATATGCTTTTGGTAAAGATGAGTTGTGTTTTATAAAGCATACATTACATGTTGTTTTGTACAGGTTTAATTATTGAGTATCTTTTGTTTTTTCCTTGTTTACATCAACAAGACCTTCTGTACCTGTATCATGCTTGGTGTTCACCGAATCATCGCTGACGACCTTCTGTACCTGTATCATGCTTGGTGTTCACCGAATCATCGCTGACGANTTGTTTTTTCCTTGTTTACATCAACAAACCCTTCTGTACCTGTATCATGCTGGGTGTTCACCGAATCATCGCTGACAATACATCTGAAACCTCGCTTTGAGGTTATCAATATATTCAATCTTATGACACAATTAACACAAGACATGAACAATGGAGAGAATGACGTGGAACCGGATATACGTCAGTCCGCATCAGACGTCAGCTCCGATTAATTAGTTGTACGAAAACAAACGATTTGTAGGCGAGTTCTGTGTCACATGTTAGTTTCCGAGGAGGAGGACGGAGGAGGAAGAGGAGGAGGGGAAAAGGATGACAAAGACGAATGTGAAGATGAAAATAATGAAGACGAGGATGATAAAAGGATGTGATTTTGTATTTTTGTATTAAACATAGTGTCGTTTAAAAAAAATGTTTTATTGTAGAATAAGTATATCCAATAATTGTTTTAATCCTAGAATAGAATTTAATTGATATAAACTCAACTTAAACACATGGTCCTTCTGATTCGAGAAATCAGATATAAAAGCACTCTTGCTACATTAATTATTTTCAATGAACAAAAAAACTCCATTTTGTTCACTTTAATTGTTTATTTTCTTCTTACAAATTTTTTAACAATACGAATGATAAATATATTTGATGTCGACAGCGAGAGTTTGCACCAGGTTTTGTTCACGACCAAATACATCCCTCATTCTCCAACACAAACTGTATACCATTCAGATCAGGTCTCATACACATGTATTAAACTTACACGTGTAAGGTAAAAATGAGAAATGACATAATTTTATTCAAAATAACATATACAATAGGATATAACAGCTTAATTGGTCAAAATTAAAGCACTTTCTTCAAAATATATCAAGTTAAATTTTTCCTCTCATAAAAAAATAACTTCTTCTTTCCAATACTTCCTAAATATTTTGTATGCAGCACATTTTTCAAAACTCATTTGCATACTTGTTCTGTGAGGAATTTGCTGAATTTATTACTCGGGTTACTACAATTGTATTTCTGATATTTTTATTTCGATAGACATGTAACGAAAATGAATCGCAGAAAGTAAATTTGATTTTGGATAGAAAAGCATATTAATAACTTTAGAATTCCAAATAATACTGAACTTATTAAATTCTATTTTAATTAAAATAATATCTGTCTTTAATTTATGGAGACTTTTCAGTGATGCGATCTCATAAACGAACATTACAAACAAGGTAAACGAGTTAATTGTATCAATGTTAAAAATGAAATCATATATAATAAATTGACGCCTGCATAAGTGATTATAAAAATTCACTAAGCAGCCTGAATTTTCTACAATGTTTAAATAGCACTACGATATTAAATGACGATATATATATGTATATATAAACTGAAACGTTCAAACACAGGCATAACTTACTTACTCTACATTATGCTATAATATGTAAAAGTGGATGTTGCTGATAGTTAGGCAAACTTTGATCGTAACACGTTATAAATTGGCACTAACACCAGTCCTGTTTGTGTCTTATGTTATTATATGCAAACATTTAAAACCAGAAAGATTTCGATTTAACCATTCTTAAAGCTTCAGTAAAAAGGCATTGACTTTAAAAAGCGGTGTTTGCATTTACACTCCGCATCGTCCTTAATTGTTTCATAGGGTAGAAAGATATTAGCAGAAATTCACGTCACGTGATTAAGTCTAGGCGCTATGATAATTATGACATGGACAACTATAAAGTTCAATGTTGGTTATTGTTAATGAGATCGCTTGTCCAACTCTCAGCTACTGCCCAAACGGTATATCACCATCTACACATTTATGAGTATATATTACTGTCAATTTCAGCGGCATGCACACGGGTCATTATGAGAGTACAACTCTTATACTCAATTAGTCCATATCGAGATTCGTTCTCATTATTTTCATACGAGTTCCATTCACTTCAAAAATGATTTTTAAACATTTTTTCATCAGCTTATAAAAACCAATCATTTATAGAAATGAAGGAGTGAAACATAAAGCACATTGTCAGAATAATCCCTCATCACTCTCCACACAGATTCTTATTGCAGCACTTTCGATAAAAACTTTTTCGCACCATTCCTAGCCATACTTCCGAGACAGGCACCATGTTCATCATAGTCTATTATACAGCATATAGTGCAGTTTAGCAGTTTCGTTTTTTAAAATTGTCACTTGTGCCCTGAGTTTTAGGTTTTCCTGTTCTAGGAACGCTGCCCGCATGGCTATCTCTTCCTCCTTACATCTCCGCGAATCTCTCGATCTCTTTGCTGCCTCGTTATTTTTCCTCCTCCGTTCCCAGTATGCTTCGTCTTTCTTGTCTTCTGGAACAGTTTTAAGCTTTTTATCCAAAGCTGTTTCGGTCCTATTTTCCGCTCGTCGTTTTCGCTGCATGAGATGTGATGTAAGGGGTGTTAGAGGAAAGGTAGGATACGACGAATGACTTTCGAACATGCTTGGCATGCCAAACGAACCGGTCATTGGAGATAGTGGAGAGGTGGGAGCGCTTCCAACACCGTTGTATGCGGAAAATTGATCCATGGAGTACATTTTGAAGGGTCGGGATGGAGTGAACGCCCCATCAGTGGTATCTGATTGAGCCTTATCTTCGACAGTATTTGGTGAACTATGATTTGAGTAGTCTCTAGGTGATCGTTTTATCTGTTCCTCTCGAAAATTGTCATGATCCAAATCGTTTGTCAAAGAATGGACGGAAGATGAAGATGAGCGTCCTGATTCACAGTTACTGTTTCGTACAAATGTTTTGACAGGTAGCGGACTAACACGCTCGGGAGGGGAACACGCACTAGGTTTAGCGGATAAGTCAAGGGCCGCGTCCCCCATCTCGGCAAACTGCAACAAAAAATATGTTATTTTTTTAAAAAAGGTCCGCAATGAATAAATTCATTAATTCATTTTTATCAGCAACGAAATATAACTAAAGTAAACGATATACACTTTGTATCGTATCTCTTTCTCTCATCTAATTTTCTCTTAATACATTTTTAAATTATACATTTGTATCTCGCATTTTTTCGCTCTATTAAAAAATTACAATAAAAGTGATTAATACAAAATATTTTATTTATTTATTGAAAAGGATAAAGATGTACTCACACTATGTTTTACGAAATGAACAGTGTCACCATGACCAATTTCATTCTTACTGAATTTTGTCAAAATAATAAGCTATAACGTGTTTTTTTTGTCGTTTTTTATGGTGATTTACAATTCTTTTCTTTTTTTAAGGAAGGCAATATTTTATGTTCAGTTTCCGATCCACTGAACGGGTAGTTACTTACATCATAACATCTTTATCTTTATTTTTTTACCTTTTTTGTTCCAAATGATGTTAAGTTATCCCACTTGAATATATGTAAACGGACGTCAATCTGACAACACCATATTAGCAAGTTTATCATCAGAGACACGATAGTACATGTTCACAACTATATATATTATATATGTCAATACAACGCATTATACACGGTATCACTTCCAGTCAAATAAACAATTTATGACGTAATCATGTTAATTACAAAAGTTTAAAATGTATAATTATTTAGTGTATTTTGACTTACCTGTTGTGTTAATATTCCGTGCTAACGTTCCACACACTGACGAGATATAAATCCACACTACCGCTACACGCTCCTTGCTCAACTCTGACCAAACGCTAAATGAATTACACCAGCCAATGACCAACGCTTATACGCTTGTTTGCAATGCGTGAACTCGCTATGACCTTCTTGCACAATGAATACATAAAGCTCTGCGCATGTGACGTCGGTGACCTAGTTGTGTTAAAGCTCGCTGGGCTCACTGACCACTACACACATAGGTACGGTCAGTTGTTTACTAAAAAGGTTATTACATAAGAAAGACTGATCAGCTATAGTTTCTACGGTATTGTTTTGTTTGATTGCGGGGTTGGTACTACACATTAGTTGTCTTACAGCAGCTAATAGTTGTAAAGGAAGCCCAGGTCGAGAGGTCACCCTGACCTAGGGATGGTCAAAACTCCGGCCATTGAAACTGACAGTAGTGGTCAAATTGAATTATGATTCATATCATACTGGATAACACTAGCGTTCTCCCTCTCTGATCAGAGAAGTACTAATGACGCTTACTACACAACCACACGTGTTAGCAATTCTATTGGAACCGAATGCAGACGTGATTATCATCAATTGGTATATCACCTGCTAAGTGACTTACATAAATTAACGACAAAAAGATGTTTTTCATTAAAGAAAGTTATATCTAAAGCCTGGCTTACTATATATAATACGAAGATCAACGCAATCTTATAGAAATAAAATGACACCATAAACAATATAGCTTCCTATTATCGTAACTTTTCCAATATATTTTCAACGAAATATTTACTCGTTCTTTTTCCATAATGAAGTGGACGTGTATAAACTATCCATTAATTTACTACAATTCAAGATGGTTCTACATAAACTTTTACAGCCTACATGGATAGTGATTCTCAAAATGCGGCCATAGTCATGTTCAATAACTATCCCAATTAGTTAGCGTAGGGCATTTATTTTTCAGAAATGTCTTACTTTTGAAATGTTCACTGTATGTCGTAACTTATATTACATCTGAATTTCCCTGACCTTAATCCGGTAAGTATTGCAAGAGTTGCAATCTAAGACAACACTAATGATCGAAAATGCCAGTATAGTGAGGAAAATAAGATAAAAAGTTTTCATTTTTAACATGTACTTATTTTTTAACATAATTCTTTTTTAATTGAAACTAATTTTTATATGAAAACCTGCTATCGTTTTACAGTCATTATATTTCAAAAGAGAATGCCGATACCACTGTAGAACAAAAACAACAAGGAAATGGCACACTTTATACAAAACTGTGATTCGAAATCAAAATTGATATAAATAGGGCAACATATGAACGAAGGAAAAGGTTACATGCAGACTCTAAAAACACCAGGTGTTCCGGAAGGGTGAGCGTCTTTTGCTTCGTTATCGACACAATTGTTAAAATATTATGATGACATATTTTATGCATGGTGTACTTCACATTGGTTACAATACATTGATTATATACAGGATACATTGTCTTACACGGTTGATAATAACATTGTATGTATGGTTCATTATACATTATATATCAATGTTGATGAATGGTATGAACTCGAATTATATAGCGTACGCTATATGAAATTCTTCATTACAGTTATAATTGATTATATATGCTTTTTTTTCAATAAGGTTAAATATGATATAGAGTTTTATGAAATATTTGTTAATTCGATCAAACAAATATGTGCACTAATTCTGCGAAAGGTTTACTAAAATCTTGTCCGAAAAGTGTATGATAATGACTCTTTTTTTTTCTTCGAGATATATTAACATATTTTTATTATAAACGATATATGGGTTCTTCCAGTTTATTAATTTCCCTTAAACTTACAGCTATGGTCATTTAAGGGCGTGCCAGGTTTTGGTGGTGGAGGGAAGCCGGAGTTCCCGGAGAAAAAACCCACCGACCAACGACCAGTACCTGGCGACTGCCCCATGTAGACCTCGAACCAGCGACCCAGTGGTTAAGGGCTAGTGGTAGCAGAATGTCAGACGCCTTCACCACTTGGCTACCGCGGCCCCACCTTAAAATTACATGAAATACAAAGGATTAATAATAGTAATAGTAATGGTGGCAATTTCAGAGTTAACCTGTAAATGAACAGCGAGTAGTATAGAAATAGAAAGGGAAAACCCGTATTAGGATTGTAGCATGATAATGGTTTTGGAAATTGTATAATACTACCGCAAAACAAAATCTCAACAAAGGTTGTGACTGGATACAAACATCTTTCCAGGAAGCCTTTCACATTTGCTGTCCATCTCGTTCCACTGTCCCATTTGTATGACCATCTTCAAAAGGTTGCCATCTTTCCCAGTCAGATCAGCCATGCTGTGTTCACCTTATATAGAAAATACCATAGAACGACCGACTTGAAAACTAGCAGCTTTCACCATTCACGGGGCTCTTCAGGTAATAGGATTGTGTCACCATTTCTCAGTAGAATTTCTTCAAATTTTGTAGTTATATTGCTTTGGAGTGAAAAAAAAAATCTGCCACACTAAAAACTATAGGTTGTCAGAATTTTAAGGATTTAAATGGAAATTTATGTAAAAAGGAGTGAATTTTGAAAAAAAAATGAAAGACACAAGTTTTTGCAAAATAATGTCAATAAAAATGATAGTGCCATAGATTAGTATTGCATTAATGTATATCAATTTAATAAATGCTGAAATTGTGTAAAATTAATTATCTATAAACGATTAAAAATTAACATTTTATAATAAAACCATATACACATAGTCATGCATGTAAGAGTTATCTGTCGTGAAAAACTTCACAGTAGTGAAATAGGTAGCCGGTGTCCTGAAGTACAGAAAAATGGACACATGTGACTCATTGATAAAAAAAACTGAACTAATGCCTGGATTGCTTTGACATACTTTAATATTGAGAGAACACACTGTTTTGACAATAATAAACACACAATATTCATCAGTTTAATATTAAACATTAGAATATGCGGAAATTGTGATACTGTCTCCCTACATTGGATTTTCAACAAGGGACGTACTTCCTATTTCCGTTTATCAATACACTCCTATGACCTTAAACTGAAGTTATGAAATTAAATCTGAATATATCATACATATGATTATAAGATTTTGCTATGTTTCCTTTAACGGCAATGAAGTTTGCTGACTTTTCGCTTACAAACCTTTAGAAAATATTCATTTCAACTCCCAGTTTTATTTGTTCGCAATTTTTGAAATATGCTGATATTCAGAGTTCCTGTCAATGAGATTCTGATAAAACATAAAGTGTCTTCCAAGTTTTAATAGTGGAAGGGAAAATACTTTTGCGTAATTTGGATGTCTCCAAGGATTTAGAAGCCGATCCTTGGTTAACTGTTTAAGATAGTGACAATGTCCGACTCTCTCTTCGTTTAGTGACAATTGTAGGCAGACAGTTTCATCATATATTCATTTGATTTTCGAGTAAATTGGCAACCCTGTTAAGGTTCCTACAGCATGCCATGAACATTTCTCAAGTAAATCTTTCATTTATGATACCGCAATACTTCAAACATTATATGCATATTCTAAAGGGGCTTATTATTTATTCATTAATATTTGTTTTTTTATTGTTTCAAGAGTTGCTGTATATTTGGACACTTTATAAAATTGTTACGCTTAATCATTAAGCGATATGTTATCATAGCCTACGAGGACTCGAACGTGGATTATATGCTGACCAGCTTTTCAATAGAAATGTTGATAAATGTAGAATAAGGTTTGCAGGGAAGAGTTTGTAATCATCATCTCTGTATATATTTGATTTACTAGATCAACGATATTGTTTAGTGTCTGAAGGGTATGATAATGCTGTATTGTCGATGAGCAGACTAGATAAAGAATATAGCTCTGGTCAGAATGTTTGTGTTTGTGTTTGTGTTGTTTCGCTATTTATACCACTCCACGATGACCGTGAATACTGCCAATATTTGTTTGCAAAGCCAAAAGGACATATACGCCATTGAAGTGATCTATTGCATAGCTTACCATGATATATACTTGTAATATAATGTCGTCAGTGTTATAAGACATTTCATTTTGGTACGGTTAGGGTGGTATGTCGTAACGATAAACCGATAGTTATGTGTCCAGTTGAAATTGGATCATGTTGCCTTATCATACTGCTTACTTCTAATCAATATACTACTTTTTTTGTGACACAAAACTTAAATTAATTTCGTTAATTAGCTACCATGTCTACCTCTGAAATAATTATTTTCTTCTCTGTCCGCTGTGATTTTTTTTATCTTATGCCAAGGCCAGCTTTTCTGCAAAAAGACTTCTATTTATTAAAACATCATATGAAAGAACCATGCTGACCATCTTTAACATTTTCAAAGGTTTGACTTATAACGTAACCCTCAGGTGAGCCTTCGGGTAATATCCCCTATCCTGGGAAGACAGGTCTTAAGGGGACACTAGTTTCATCCTAAATTTCATTTTCTATTGTTAAGTTAATCATAGTACATTGTACATCATTATAACATTGTCTATCGTTACGTATTAATCATTGATGTTAATGTGTTATCACGTATATATGTCTACATAGATATCCCCAAACCATGATGATCGCCGTATATGTACATATCTGTAGTTGAAATAATTATATACAGCTACACGTATTAGTTAAAAATGGATCCAGGAATCAATAATAGCTCGTTGTGATTGCGTACAATGTTGTACCTTGATATGATTAAGAATCCTCATGTACCATATATAGAATTACCAACATGTAAACACCAATTACGTATCCGACGACAACAAACTTGTATATGGAATTCGAGAATGTACCCTTAGACAAGAAGATCAAATATAAACCGCAATATTTACCTAGCATGAACATATACATCCTTTTCAATAGACGATCGGCCATTAATTCTCTGGAGCAAAGAAATAAAGTAATCATTGTATGTTCTCAAATATCATGAAGAACTGGAAGTATCTGAACACCCAGACATGGCTTCCAACATCATCGGAAGTCTGACATTTGGTAGGATTTAATCACGTGATAATGGTTTGCTGACCACACGTTTACGCA